CTGCCATCAGTTTCTCACCCAAAAACACTGTGAAAATTAATGATGAGGTAATGTCTGCAAAATGCTCAGAGCTCTTTGGAGATGTGTGGCAAAAGGCATCACTATCATTAATATTTAAAGAGATTCTACCAGTTCTGATCGCTTTTTCTGCAGACTAATGTTATGTCCACAGGATAAAGTGATGCCAGATTGGCCTCAAAATAAACCCGCCAAACAGACAGCACCAAGGCAGGTGATTTCTCCTGAGTAGGCTGATGGCACCCAGGGTTCACACAAGGGTGATTTCAAACTTGGTTATCCAAGGATGTGAGGGTAAAATGCATTGAGTAGAAGAGCAAAACATATTTCCAAAGGTGGTGGTCTTTGTGATCTCAATTTTTAAGTTTGGGAGAGAGTCCAGTGAAGACTTCAAGGGGAATCATTTTAGTAAAACCCACATCCTAAGCCAGTTAACATTTTTAGGTCTAACACAGTGCCCAAGAAAGGAAGAAATAAGAATAGCTCTCTGGGCTCAATTACAAATGGAGTGGAAAAAATAATTTCAAAAGTTCAAGGGGAAAAAAAATCAATCTATTTCCTTCCCCTAAAGCTTTCACTTCTATAAATATACTCACACAAATGGACCTGAGACCACTCTTTCTTATGAAAATGCTACCTGCTTGGAATTTGCAAGATAAACGATGTGTGTGCCCTTCTGTTTTCAGCCTGCTGCAGCTCAAACAATGCTTTCCAATAGTTTATCTCTCCTTCAGTAACACTCACCTTCCCCTCAGATCACAGAAGAAATATATGTGCCTGGTAGAAAGTTTTGAAGTTTTTCTTCTTTGGGAAAAAACAAAATACAAACGATCCACAAGCTACAAATTGCTGAATACGCCTGTAGTTTTCTGCATGAAAATATACATTTTCAACAGCTTTGGAAACTGACAGCAGCTACTGGCTTATAGCTAGATTTTCTTCTTAGAACAAGCTGTAAACATTTTCCTGTCTATTCCCTATAGATAGGTGGATTTTAAAAATTTAAAATACTTTTTAAAAAGACTTCTTTTTAAAAAAGATTTACTTATTTATGCATACAGAACGGGGATACAGGCAGAGTAGAGAACAGAACAGGCAGTTGAGGAAGGACACTGCTGAGGGGAGCAGCAGGCAAGACAGGAGGGTTGTGCTGGGCCTTGTGGATCACCACCCAGGTGATTGAACTTGCATTGAATTGGCGTGTGGCCACTTTGTAGTGCTGCGCTTTAGCCCACTGCACCCCAGAGAGGTCCTAAAAATGACGTCTTTAGTCATTCTCATAGGGTAAATTCTGAGGCACGACAACGTCAGGTGAAAGACTACGCACATTTTAAACAGATAGCCAAACAACTTTCCAGAAAGTTTATCCCAGTCTTCCTCCCCCATTGACGGGAGAGCTACTTCCCCCACCTGCTCACTGACCCTAACTCAGTAGAGTTCTAAAGAAAGTGTTACTGCTTTTATTTTCAGTTCTTTGCAGTGTTTCCCCTAGTACTTAAAAACAAAAACAAAAACCTGGGCCCTCTCTGGTGGCACAATGGGTTAGGACTCCGCATAACAAGCTCACCGCAGCCACTTCAGTGCAAGTCCGATCCTCAGCCCGGAGGTGACCCGCATGGCTCAAGAGACCTCTCCTGTCTCGCCCACAGCTCCCCTAAGCAGTGTACTTTGTCGACCTGCCTATTCTGATCTCTACTTTGGTGAATCCTCTCACCACCCCTGCACCTCTGGCCTGTAAGCCAGTTCTGTATGCATAAATAAATCTTTAAAAAAAAAAAAAAAACCCTGCTTACTTCTATTCATCAGAAAGTTGACATTCTGTTCCCTCTCCAAAGGATATTTCCCACACTCCACTTCCAAGGGCAGCTTAGTGTTCTTCCTGTTGAGCACCTGCCCCCACATTTTCACTTTGGTGCCCTCCATTCTTTTCTCAGCAAACATTTCATAGTTTCAGTCCAGAAGTCAGATGCAGAGCCCAATAATCAGTCATTTAATCATGCATCCATTCATTCACTGTACCTCTGGGGAGGTCTGTAATGCTCCAGGCACCATAGAAGGGAGGACTATAAAGAAAACGTATGAGAAGCTAGGAAAGCCAGCACCACTGAGACCCCAGTGCAGAAGTACACTTGATTTGAAAGACAACTCAGAATCTTACTGACAGGCGAAGGAGAGGAGCAGAGACAAGGAGTAAGGCAACGGGACATGAGCGAAGGTCCTGAGGCATGTTAGAAAACATTGTGCACTGAAGGAATATTTTCTTTGAAAAAAAATTATGTATTTATTTATGCATACAGAACTGGGGTAAGGCCAGAGGAGTGGGGGATGAGAGGATTCACCAGAGACAGAGTAAGGAGCAGAACAGGCAGACTGACAAAGTACACTGCTGTGGAGAGCCGTGGGCGAGACAGGAGAGGTCTGCCACGCCATATGGGTCACCTCCCTGGTCAGGGATCGAACTCATGCTGCAGTGGCTGCTAGCTTCACAGTGCTGTGCTTTAACTCATTGCACCACCAGGGAGGGCCCTGGAGGAATATTTTCATTGGTAAGGCATGAGAACAAGGAAACAAGGACAAGCCTGACAAGTTAGTTCCTACTAAATTCACATGCAAAACTGTTTTCCTTCTGTACTGCAACTCTGGTTTGCAATTGTGGCCCATTTCCAGTGCTGGTTCTTCCAAGGACTCTAGCGATTCCTCTTGAGAACCATCCTCACCATCTATCTCTCCCTACTTCTCTGGCTGAGGCAAGAATCCTGGCACTCACACAAATATACTTATCACTCTCCACTGAATAGATGACTGATTCCTAGGGCTAATCAGTACTGCTAGAAAAAACGCCTCTGGATTATGATACATTCTCTCTTACTCCTAGTCTCTCAACACTGCATTTAATTTATAATAGACAATCAATAAAAACGTATAGAATTTAACCAATTAAATTTGGCAGAATAAATATAAGAGATGAGAGAGCACAAGTTGTATGCATTTAACTGTCATTCAGGCAGCTGAAAAAATTAAAACCTTCCTTGAGAATTTGCTTCAGCAAAAGATAAATTCTCTTTAGATATGTACTCCTGCATCTACCTAGACATTTCTCACTGAGGCACACACATGGTACTGACTAAACTGTGCTGCAAGTCCCAAGAGCCCCTGTGCATAAAGGTCAATATATTCTGGAGATTTGGAATAATTTTTTCTGTGCAGAAAAGCAGAAGAGAAGGAAAAGGGCCTCTACTACATGCCATCTCTGTTGGGATTTTCCATCCTGAGCATTCCAATTCAATGCAAAATCCCAAGGCCAATGGGAGGATCCAGTTTCCATCATCTTTGTTTTCATGTAGACAACAAACATTTCTAGATAGTTCTTCCCTTTGGGCAAAGAGCCCGTGTATTTCTCAAGAGGCTGATCCTTCCCTCTTCGAGTTCAGATCCCTTCAGCTTTGGATTCATTTCCTACTGTTACATTTGTCACCATGCTGATGTCTTGCCTGTCCCCAAGCCAGGCTGTGACCTCTAAAGGGTGATGACTATTTCTCCAACCATGGGCTCTGGGCCTACACTCACAGAGTGGATGATCAATCCATGTTGTGGAATCAAATGTAGAATTGGGGCTAGAAGGACCTTAGAAAAGAACCAATCCACAGAGGGGAAACTGAGGCACAAAGAAAGGAAGTGACCTTTTTGATACATACAGAGAGTTGGTAGTAATTAGTAGGTTTAAGAGAGAAAGAAATCAAAGGCACCAGGATACTTGAGGAATTAGGAAGCTGAGGGGCTGATGGAATTTGGAGCGATGATGACTGGGAAGAAATTAGATTGATTTTGGACAACCTCTAACACACGATCAAGTCTCTCTTCTCCATGACAGTCTTTTAGAGATTATAAAATGAAAATTAACATTTTCTTTTCTACCATGTGAATATCTGCCATGTGTAGGTAGAAAAAAACAATCAAATACTCCTCATTTCTTCTTTTCTATAAGTTTAAAACCTACAGATAGTTTGTTAAATAAGAAAACAAACAACATGCATCTAGTTAGTAAGCTGGGTTTGATGGAGTCAAAAGCCTGGGCACTTTGTCCTGCACCTCTTTGCCTCTTTGACACTAGTCCAAAGGCTACAGGGTCTCAAGGAAGAAGAGCAAATTTGATCAAGTTTGCAGTGTTTTGGAACAACAGACAGTAGTTTCAAAGGCTGAATGTTAGGTCTGCAACCTCCCCATCCTCTGAAAATGCAGACAGCAGGCGCCATCCCTCACTAACTCTCAGTTATCAGTCTAGTCCCTCTGGGGAGCAGGGATGAGACTAACAAACAGACAGACCCACATTTACTCTTGACTCAGCCAGCATACCACCAGTGACTATTAAGGCCAGGGTGGGTATTTGGGGGCCCGCTGCAAGTAAGGCAAATCATCCTGTTACTGTCCTTTCATCAGTCACCCCTGTAGCCCGAGCCTCTCCTGGATGGGGTCTTCTACTGGGCTCTGGATTGAGCAGCAGCAAGGTTCAGCCCTTGCTCAAGGGAAACACAGAGTCAAGTGGGGTGGGTTACATGGAAACATCCGTGGCCGCACATTCTGGGGAGTATTACCTTGAAGGGCTAATGGGCAGAACAGGAGAGCCTCAGTCTGGAAGAGTTTTTCAGACAAAGCAGGATATGTTGATGTGGGGTTACTTCTGAGAGACTACATCAAATGAGCCTTGTTAAAAAGGGGGAGTTATCATTCTTTAAAGTCAACAAACAAAATCAGAAGCCCAAAATTGCTGAACTGCTTCCTCCCCCGCCCTCAGGATCCCTTGCAGCGCAGTCAGGCTGTCTGCCTTACTAGATGATCCTTAATGTCTCTTTCAAACCCAAGGCTCTCCCAGGTCAGGTCTACATGGATGGCCAGGAAGAAGGCAATCTGAACCCCGGTGGAGACACAGCTGAAGGTACTTTTGGGAGTAGTACTCTAGCCACCTTTCCCTGCCTCTTACTCACCCATTAGGGCTCAGTTCAAATGCCAATCGCCCTTGGAAGTCTTCCTGGATCTTGCCCAAGGCCTGCCCAGGCCTCCGCTGGGCTCCCATGGGTTTCTGTAACATGCAGCACTGTGCCCTGCACCGACTTGCTATAGCTGCAGGCTGGGTAGGGACTGATTCATCTGTCTCCTCCCTCCTTCCCAACCCTTCCTGCCCCCACCACTATGCAGATATTGAACTGGGAGGAGCAGGAGGCCAGGAGGATGCTCTGGGCAGGTGTGGCCAGCAAGCTGAACAGCAGTGACAACCACAAGCAGAGTCAGGAGTGCTCAATGCCAGGGCCTCTCAGGCCACTATCCTCTCTGCTTCTCCTTAGTTCCAACCCTCAGGCCCAACACTGCTGCTCACCCAAACTTTTGGCCTTTGAAATGTCAGCTGCAAAACAGTGTGCCACTGTTTTTGGAGAAAAGTATATTTTGTGCACTGCATCAGGATACCAAAGAATCCAGCAGCAGACTGAAGATCCCATTTAAAGGACCTTAGAACTTCTGAAACAGACTGGCTGAAAGGCTACATCACACCACAACACACTTTAGGGTTGGGAAGTAGCATTTCCTAACTTTTTACGAAAAAAGACATGTGCATGGGCACAGAGAATTCAATGAGTCAATCTCAGACTGAATTAGTGAGGAAATTCAAGGTCATTAAACCTTCCTCTCTGTGTCCTTCTCCATCCACAGCAGAAATCTCCCCTCGATCTAAGAACTGGAGATGAATGTTTTAATAGCCCAGCTTCTACTTCCCAATGATAAAAACGCCACTGATGAGCGAGAGGATGGCTGGTGAAAATGAGGGAATGGACCAGAAAGATCCATGTTTCCTGGGCAGCCTAGTCTCTGAGTCCCACCCAGGCCAAAGGAGCAGGGATTATTAGAGCAGCCTCAGCCGCCTCACAGCAGCAGCCAGAGGCTGAAGAAAGGGGGAGATACGAAACATACAAAATGAACACCTAAGGCCAGGGACCTTGGACAGCTAGACTAGAGAGAAAAGAGTCACAAAAGTAGAGAAAGTGAAGCACCAGAGCGATGAAAACAGATGTCCACATCCTAATCCCAAACCTTATTTGGAAAAAGAGTATTTACAGATGTAATTCAATCAAAGCTCTTCAAAAGAAGAAGAGTTTGTCCTGGATTATTCCAGTTGGGCCCTAAGTCCAATGACCAGTGTTCTTGTAAGAAGGACCAGAGGGAGATTTAGCACAAACAAAAGAGAAGGAGGAAATGATGGGAGGGATGCAGCCACAAATCAAGGAATGCTGACAGCCACACAGGGCTGCAAGAGGCAGGGAGGGATTCTCCCAGGGCCTCGAGAGGGAGTGTGGCCCTGCTGATACCTGGAATGGGGACTTTAGAAAGGGAAGCTTCTGTTGTTTTAATCCAGGTGATTTGTTACAGCAGCCATAGGAAACTGATAGAGCACCTTGGAAGTAATCAAAGTGAGGAGGGAACTGAGTCCCAGTGAGGGGCTCACACAAAGATTCCGGACACTATCTTCTGCAGCCCACTAGGCCTCTCACACACCAAATGGTGGCCCTTCCCCTGTGGCCCAGAGAACAGCCCTAAGAGGGAGCACTCAGGAAAACTCTAGAGGGGCCCTGGGGGAATGCTAATCCAAGGAGAGACTGCAGTGAGGCTGTGGAGTCTTTCTCCCCTCAGCCTGGCCAGGCCCCACCTGCACAGTTGTGTCCAATCCTTAGCTCTGTTCTTTCAGGTGACTGGGAAAATTGGATCACTCTGACTGAAGAGGTGAAGACTCTGGGCCCTGATCCCTGTCTTTAAATGTCCATAGGGCCCAAGTGGCTTTTGGGGAGAAGAGAAGATGGATCTTTGAGGGAGCTTCAAAGGGAGACTCAAGGCCAATGGAGTAGCCATTTCTGGAGAGAGAGATTGGTGCAGCGCAATGAACTTGCTAAATATCAGAGCTAAGTGACAGAGGAATAGGAGTGCCTCAGGGATTAGCAGGTCCAAGCAGAGAGAGGCTGGGCGTGTGAGGGGAATTCCTGCCCCAGACAAAGGCTGCACTGGATCGTCTCCAGGGATGGCAACTGTTGGAAGGTTTCTGACTACTGGCTAGAAATCCTTCGCAAATCTAGGTTTTCGGCATATAGACAGGGTACACTCACTTAGAAACTTACTGCAGTTTGTGTGAATAACTAAGCATTCCAACTAACCGGGATTAAGCTAGGAAAAGGAATAATCAATTCTTCCTGTTCTTGCATACAAAATGATCCCCCAAAGGAGGAAGAAAGGAGAGCCCCTATCTCCATAAAGACATTACCCTCTAACCTGACCAGGAGCCAGCAGCACCATTGCCAGGGAGCCCTGGGCAGCCTGGGCTTGAGGTCCTCTAGGGAAATCTAGAGATCACAGCAACTCCAGCTACCAGCTGAATTATTCCATAAGCATTATTTTAATAATTGCTTTTTCTTTTATATCTTTCTGAATTCTACATTTAGTACAAAGAAACAAAGCAGTAACTGAGAAGCTGAATATGTTAATGGCCACAAGTTAGCCTTGGAGAGGGTTTTAGGGTGTGGTTATCACTGGGTGTCACAAGCTCTAGCGTTCACCCTACATTCTGGACATTCGGAGACAGGAAGCACAGCATTTCTCATTTGTCTGCACATCTGTCTTCTCTTAAGTCAAAATCTCAGAGAACTAAGCACTGTTGCATCCGGATGAATTCCTCTGAAGCTCTTTCGGTTCAGGACTTTGACATTTTGCCATGTTCCCCTTCTACTGAAATGGCTGAGCTTCTTAGATAATTCCTCAAGAGAGGTCAAAGGAACATACTTTCATACTTTTAGATTTACCACCAAATCTTTTCTAGTCTGCAATTACTATTTTTCTTTTCCTTCTCTTCCAAAGGAACCAGTATTAAGGGTACGCATTATTTATTTAGCAGCCAGTTTATGAAATAATTGGAAGCCTGAACTATTTCTAACTATTGGCAAAAAGGTCTCCAAACATCAGGTGGGTCCCTGAAAATACTATGTCATGTCAGTGAAAATAATGGCTACTGTCCTCCCATCACTGACTGGCCAAGTCCTAAATTGGACTTCCCATTGCACTTTAAGCAGATAGTTAATTTAAAAACCAAAACTTCATATCTGTAGAGTTGCATAATGTAAGCTGTTGTTATCAAAAGAAATTTAAGATTATATTATTCTGCTTCCATGGACATAATTAGGTTTGTTGTAAATCTTAGACTATACTAGAAGTGCTGTTACAACAGCTACATATAAATCAAAATTTTATAAATTGAATGGTGATAATTACACACGTGTATTTGGTAGTTGAAAGCACTTCATACCCAATCCTTGATGTGGTAAAGAATCCTTTTATAATATAAGCAAATTTATTTAACTGGAAGGTTCAATTTGACATAATATATTTATTAAAATAATTTGTATTGGTCATAGTGAAAAGCTTGATTCAAAATTCAGACTCATTGTTGAGGCTACTCAGCTCTTCATCAAACGAAAATCCTACATCAGGAGGCTGTAGATGAGTACGGGTGAGGGCCACATTCCCCACACATTGGCATTCTGTTTCTGGCTTGACTCCATCCTTTTAGACTGCAGAGAAATCACAGGGTTTTGTCTACCCAGTATAGTAAACACAGATCAAGCACGTTCTCGGAGAGGTTCTGTGAGAAGGGCTGTGAGGTGGAAGTAGAGGGACAGTGTGCTCCTCTACCCTAGCTCCTGGTAGGGTAGTCACCTCTAGGGGCTTCTCAAGGCCATGGTCATATACACCAGTGATCACACATAAAATCCACAGAGGCTGATGGTGATAGCTTCTCCATGAGAGCTACTGATTGTAGTGGGAGATCAGGGGAGGCTGGAAACCCGAGGACAAGGGGATCCGGAAGACAGTTTCTAAGATAAATAGAATTTGTTTTCTGTGTTTTTTTTAATATAAAGATTTATTTATTTATGTTCACAAGATCTGAGGTATAGGCCAGAGGTGCAGGGGCGGTGAGAGGATTCACCAGAAACAGAGTGGGAGGCAAAGTGGCTGTGACTAGCTTGGTAGTACTGTGCTTTAACCCTTTGCGCCACGAGGGAGGGCCCCACATAGGATTTAATCAGCATTTTCAAGCTTAGGCAAGACCACTGGGGCTGAGGCACAAGGAGGCAGAGGGGCCCAGATAAGGAAGCAAAGGCCTAGGGGCCTGGGGATGGGCGGGATTAAGACAGGAGGACATGAGGCCTGATGGAAATTCCGTACTTCATCATCCATGCAAAGGAGACCCCATGAAGGTATCTGGGCCACACTTTGGCTCCCTCTGATGTTCAGAGAGAAAAGGAAAGATGGGGACATGCTTGAGGGAGATTTTGTAAATAAAAATGACAGAACTTGGTGAATGATGAGATTTTAGGCAAAAGGGCACAGAAGAGGGCAAGGTCATGGAGCACTAGGTTCCCCTGCTTTGGGGTTTCCAACCTGGACAGGGAGGAGGTGCTGGCCATTGGGTGCCCCACTAGCCGGCTGGCAAGGCTGGCTTTGGTAACACTTGGGGTTCAACCCCACTCTCCCAATAACTGTTGGAAGAATGTACCTAGGCAGTGCTGTGGAAGCCACAGAGACATACAGCATTGCACTGTCATTCTTCAGCCTTCTGTTCTGGACTTCTTGGGCTACTCTAAATTCCCAGCAACTACACTAAGGCAGATGGGAGGCAGCACCCAGTTCGCAGTATATACAGACAATACTGGCATATTTGCAATGGTGTCTGACTGTCAAATCCCCCGTTCGGGGTTCTCAAACACATAGTGATTTGTTGGCAGCAGGGATTGGTCTCCTGATTTACTACTCTACAGTCCCACCATCTAACATTATTTACAGGACATTGGCTGCTGTTGATTTTAGTGTTAGATCTGAGCACCCCCCAGATAATCAAAAGTTCATCCTGCCCCTTGAGTCTGGAGGCAACCCCTTGAACACAGATCCCTTTGTCACAGGAACTCCATTCTGGTAGTGAGGTTCTACATCAAGACACACTGTCATAAAAGGCTCCATTTC